ACACTGTGCAACTGCATATTTTAACTCATTATAATAAATTATGAAATTACCTAATGACTTATCATGTGACGAAAACAAATATCTTAATGCATCACCATAAAGACAAAATACGCTCTGGTAAATAAAAGAAAACAATATTCTGATTCCGTGAATAATCAGATTACTACATAAGAAGCACTGGTGTTCGGCATTTCAAATTATGCAGCATAAAGAACTAATGCCTCGTCACTAATACAATTAAAAGAAGAGGAAGAAAAGCATCGATGAGGGCAGTACTACTGCCTGTGCTATATTTGCTAATATGGTAAATTCAGCATACTGTCCATTTCCACAGCTCTAACTCCATCAGTATAGCAACAACTTTTTTTAAGATTGAAATCCTGCCAGGAAAGATTAGGGGTGAAATATCACAGCACAAGTCATTATAATTTCACATTTCAGACATTAAGTTTTGACTTTACACTCAAATATCTGCCCAGGGATAAAAACATGGTACAAACTCAACTGTGTCTGGCTCACTTATATAAGTTTTTTGGGTTCTGGTTGGGTTTGGATGCCACACTCATGGGCAGAAATAGGCGGTTTGATCAATACTCTACTCTGGTCATACTGGTAACATTGGTAGTGTGCAAATACTGTATGCATTACTGTCTGCTGAAACAATTAACCAATGATTTCTCTGCTGTCAGAATCCACGGATCCTGTTTTCCCTGAGCCAAAAAGAACCCTGCAGGCTGCAGGGTCTTTTTTCCACTGTTCCCCCTTTCTCCAGAACAACGTCCCTGCTGACACCAAGCCTGGTTATCTCATTTTCATATCTCGGTTGTCTTGGTAAATGATGCCTTTGTGGCTCAAGACTCAGTTAATCTCAAGATATAATCCCAAATCAGAAAAAGTAGGGACGGTTTGTAAAATCTTAATTAAAACAGAAAACAGTGATTTGTAAATCATCAGTGTCCTGTTAGCATGGAAAACAATCCAGCAGAACATTATTTGATGTGCTACCGCATCAGTTTTATTCTTTGTTCAAAATAAAAACTCACTTCACTTTTGATGCTGTAAGACATTCCAGAAAAAGTTGGGGCAGTAAAACATTTACCATGGTGCCGTTCCTTCTCACAACACTTAAAAGACATTTAAGGACTGAAGACACCAAGTGATTGATGTGTTAGGAGGCATTTTGTCCCATTCTTCCTACAAACACATCTTAAGGTGCGCAACAGTCCTGGTTCTTGGTTTATGCATTTTGCATTTGTGAATACACCATGATTCAGTTAAAAAAAAACCTGCAACAACACAACAGGATGAAAAATGAAAGGATGAAAATATGCATTTAAGTGGGGATCCAGGAGTGATAGACTGTAATGCTACCTTTACATCTCAGTGTTTAAAACAGTAAGGACATTCTCTGGTTATATATGAACCAATGCAGTGAATAAAGTGCCAATGCAGAGTGGCTGAATCAGTGAACTGTCTGTTGGAGGAGAACTGACGTGAGCTGTGACTCTGCTTTTTCTCACCCAGCAGACACAGAAAGGAAATTAGCCTTTTTGGAAGAATCGATACAGCAGCCACCATGGTGCCAACAGACACGGAGTGCCTTATTGATCCCACATGCAGACTGGATTTCACACACACATACACACACTGACCTGGATCCAGAACACAAACTAAAATGACTCAACTAAAGAGGCTAGTGTCAAACTTGCATATTTTACCTTCACTGTACAATCAAATAACACAAATTCCTTCTGAAAGTGAAGAAATGTGAAGATACTATGAGCCAGTTTCTCCCCAGTCAGGCAGTATACGTCATCATCAACATATGTTTCTACGCTCTGTCTCTGTGCCTTTCCTGCTCATCCATACATTCATTTCACTGAATAGTCACACGGTGTCAATGTGTCATTCTAACAGCTGCACACACACACACACACACACACACACACACACACTGTTGGTTTGGAAAAAGGGTACAAATGACAAGAGAAAATACATTCCCAGTGTGTGCCAGGGCAAGGAGGCCACATTACCTTAGAGATTGGGGTAAATGTTACTTTACAGTTCCTGACATTTGCTGTAAGTTGCAGATACAGAGAAAATCATCTGTGTTCTGAACAGAATGTTAAACTGACATTTCAGATGAGTGTTTGCAAACCCACAAAAACATGAAGAATGTGAAGAAGGACAGAAGAACGATCCACTTACTGTCATGAAAATGACTGTGAAATAAACTACATTATAAATGGGACTTTATATTCTATTCATATCTGGGCCGGACCAGTCGATATACTGTACTGTAGGACTTCAGTTTACACACTGTGAATCAAATTGTTTCTGCTCGATTAGCCTAATATGAAATCTGAGACCTCCCCACCACCCTAACATCCTCCATCATCATCACTGGCCCTTCGCCCACGCTGATGGGACTCATTAAAAGTATGTTGAATAAGTTGTTACTAGCTCCTGATTCCAATGTACCCATGACTGAATAGACAACTAACTGATTTTGACATCGAAGAAAACTATACAACCTGATCATTCTCAGGGAAATTGTGCAGTTACAAGAAGTACTGTTTCTGCAATTCCTTTAAACATTTACTGACGCCTGTTAGCGATGGACAGTGGAAATAATGACATCCTCAGACAAAGTGAAGCAAAAATATGTCGTGC